TTCTCCGTAGACTGGCTACACTACTCCTGGCTCGAAGTTACCCTTAGCTTTGTGGAAAAACTGCATCATGAAGGCCCCCTAATTGGAATAAACCCTTTTTTCCAATACTTTCCTAATTTTGATCTAAATTTCAGATGGAGAAGTCGTATCCGACGAATGCAGTGAGACAATCTCATGACAAACCAATACCGACTCATCAGGCTCACTACGCTCATCCTCCGTCTCACACCAGTGGTAATGTCTTTCAACCAAGAAAAAACTGCTAGAGACGAGAGACGTAGCCGACAAGTCTGTTAACCGTTGCTTCTATTGTAATTTGTTTGTCTATTCTCCAAGGATTCATTGAATATTGGGAAATTTTCGAGGGATTTTCTTTGGGAGCAACGGCCACATTATGTACAATCTGTCCTACACTGTTGTTTTATATCCTTATTTTATATGAGACATTTTCGTAAGAGTAGTTTCGATCCGGTGCACATTCCATGTACATCCGTCTGATTTTTTTATGGGTTTCTAGATTTTATGGATAAATTTCGTTTGGTATCTGTATCGACGTGGAATGTGCTTTAGGCAGTTAAGCTGCCCCCAGTCTGTCTCAGCATGAACGACTGCCTTGCCAAGTCTGCAGTACTTTACTGTACATAGTACCTCACTAAACAAAAAGTATCGTACCTTCATGTATGTGCAAGAGACGAGTCCACGAACGGCTCGAAGTGCTTGCGTTGCAGCATTGTCATCAGGTTCCAACATAAGGACTAATCGATCAACAAGTGACGGATTAGATGCGATGCAAGCGGCAGGTTCCTTGAAAAAATGGAATTGGGTCTCATCCAGTAATGGAGGGATTGCAATTATAGCGCTCCCTGCGTTAAAAACCACAGATGGCACATTCTTCCGTTGTGAATGTAAGAGAAGGGAGGGTGACCCCTAGTCCGTGAGCAATCTTCGTTTTCACCGGGTGACCCGCCTCCTCCTAGGACCAAGCCTAGGAGGAGGCGGGTCATCCGGGGAAAACAAAGTTTGCTCACGGACCTTACTAGATGAATACTACTTTGAATAAAAAAGAGCAAGCAAGCACTGGTAAGTCTGATTGATCCAAATGGGCACTAGACCCAATGCAGCACAATGCCCCCTCCTACTGGAGGAGACCCATAGAAGTTATTGTTGTTGTGAAGCCGGATGTTTTCATTATCTTGTATGTCTGAGGCAAGGCAATTGGTCTGAAAATCATACGTAAGGTATAAACAGACCCACTCTTGCAGCTTTTGAGAATAATTAAATCACAAAGCCAGTCAGACGACTGGAGCATAGAATGAGCGGGTCAATTCCCAAGGGGAGTAGGTGCCAAGTAGTTCGCCTTGCCTATGGTAATCTCAATTTTTGTAGGAGACCTTTTGCTTTAATCGGCTGACTAGAGTATGTGCATAATTTCACTTTCGCTCTTTCCACCCCAGAGCTTCTCCCCGTGCAAAAGTTTTGATTGAGGTAGGCGATACAATCTATAACCACAAATTCCACTCCCCCTCCCTTCTCTTTATGGGATACACCCAAATGCCCCTATCGTATGCTCTGGCAGCAAATAATGATAAACTAGTGGAATCTGAGGCCGGCGTCAGACTTCGCAAAAACAGCGATTCGCTAGCTGTGGTACGAGCGTTGCACCAGCGATTCGAGCGATGTCCCAGAGCGAGATGGCATGAGAGCTCGGGGAAGTGGCGAGAGTCAACATGGAAACTTGAGGTAGTCCTGCCACTTTCAAACAGTGTCGAGTCGC